GTGCGTGCGTGCGTGCGTGCGTGCGTGCGTGCGTGCATGTGAGTGTGTGTGTGTGTATGTGTGTGTGCGTGTGTGCGTGTGTGTGTGTGTGCCTGTGTGCGTGTGTGCGTACGTGTGTGCGTGCGTGCGTGCGTACGTGCGTGCGTGCGTGTTTATATTGTGACAAGGGCCTGTGTCACGAAAGAGCAACTGAAATAATATAATAGCTGTGCTAGCATTGCACATGTTTTATGCATGATCGTGACAGTAACACGTGCAACGGTCAATATATCTATGCCAGTGGAACGGGGTGAACACTGATGAAGTGGTGACACGCACACATGCACGCACGCACGCATGCACACATGCGTACTCCCTCATGCAGGCACGCACACATGAACGCATACACGCATGCATACAAACACTCATGCATACACGCATACACACACGTACACACATGCACACATGCATACACACAAGCACATATGTCATGTGTAAGGTTTCCAGTGGTAAGTTTCATTCTCGTGATGTAGGTAATTTAGCTGAGAAATTTTGGCACCCATGAATTCTTATAATCGAGTATGTGTATGCCTGCATGCATGCGTGTTAACGTCTTTTCTATATCTGCATTACATGTGGTGTTGTGCATTTCCTAATTAGGAAGGCTTATTTTTGCATCAACAGGATTACAGACTCAGACTTGCTTGTTTGCTCGTTAGAGGAACTAGCTTGGATGTCTTACAGGCCCAGAAGATGAGACTGGTGGGAAACGTGCTGATATTGTCGATTACGGTTACCAGTGCCAATAATTTGGTTCTGAAATGAGATTCTCTGTGCCATTCCAGATGCTCAACGATTTGGTAGCAAATTTGGCGTTACTGGTTGAAGCAACTGATGTAAATGTTACTGCTCTCGTGCTCGAGGTAAAAATGACATTATAACATCGATGATTTATGTTAAAATAAAATAGTTAAATTAAATTAAAATTAAATTATTTTATTAAAAGTGTGAGCACTTAAAATTTACTACTTACTACTAACTACGATGGTTTATCATTATCGGCCCACCATTTTGTTTTGAATAGATATTGTAAATCATTTTGGAATGTAGAATTCTATTGGCCATTGATCATGAATAATGCTGTTTGTAGATGTGTTCTTCATTCAACTTTGATAACCTTTGTTCAACATTAATAACTTTTGTTCAACATTGATAACGTTCATTCACTCATGATAACCTCTGTTCAATCATGATAACCTTCATTCAACCATGATAACCTTCATTCACTCATGATAACCTTCATTCAACTATGATAACCTTCATTCAACCATGATAACCAAGCGTTCAACCATGATAATCTTCATTCAACCATGATAACCTTCATTCACTCATGATAACTTTCATTCAACTATGAGTATGATAACCTTCATTCAACCATGATAACCAAGCGTTTAACCGTGATGACCTTCATTCAACCATGATAACCTTTATTCAACCATGATAACCTTCATTCAACCATGATAACCTTCATTCAACCATGATAACCTTCATTCAACCATGATAACCTTCATTCAACCATGATAACCTTCATTAAACCATGATAACCTTCATTCAACCATGATAACCTTCATTCAACCATGATAACCTTCATTCAACCATGATAACCAAGCGTTCAACCATGATAACCTTCATTCAACCATGATAATCTTCATTCAACCATGATAACCGTCATTTCAACCATGATAACCTTCTCATTCAACCATCGATAACCTTCATTCAACCATCATGATACCTTCATTCAACCGCGATAACCTTCATTCAACCATGATAACCTTTATTAAACCGTGATAACCTTCATTCAACCATGATGACACAGCGTTTAACTGTGATAACCTGGTCGCAGGTCGTATATAATCACATGCAGAATGCAGACGCGTAATCATACGTCCGTGGTCCATCTCTTGAGTAGATCTCACTGATATATTCTCACTTCACAGGCGCAGCAGGAGTGTGCGATGCTGTGCCGCAGCGAGTCGCAAATGAGTCGCTAGCTGTGCCTGAGATTGTAAAGTCTTCGCCTTACAGTGTTTACCCGCAAAATATGAAAGTTGCGCAACTGTGTTCCCGGGGGAATATATTCGTGAAGTAATAATAATAAGTCGTGCTCTAGGTTTTCCGTAACACGGGAAATGTGCTAGTTCACACTGCTTGTCGTGTTCATATTTGGAAAATGCCGGAATGTCCTGTTATCGTGTTTGGCAGGGTGATGCGAGTTGCGTCTGTTGTCTTGTTTAGCAATAGTGATTGTACCGTTGTGATGTTGTGTATGGCTTCCCAGTTCCGCCGCGGCAGGTATCAATGTTTATTGGCGGGATTCGCTGAGAGAGATGTGCGTGTTAACGAATAGACGATCAGTAGCACACAGTAGATACAAACAAGTAGGTGTGGTGAACGGACTCTAGGTTTATTCTAGTAAATCAGAAAGTCACTACACGGCTAAATGAATGTCCGGGAGCGCACGAAAAACACGACTTTTTACGATGGTAACTACTGCAGGGACTCTGAGTCCCTGAAACGCACACACGAGATTCGTGCTGCTTAGGTTCGTGTACACGGTAATATGGGGCGCGTCTGTGGGAGTCACATCCGAAACCTTAAATCTTTCTCGCTGAGTCACCTGGGTTGGCTCGTTTTTAGCCACCGCAAGTGCAGGCGTGACGCGTCTATGAGGACTAGGAATCCGAGAGTGGACGCTTTTAGCTTGCGCCAAGATGGCGACGAGGCATCCTCGCCGACCGTTCTCTGCTGACGAATCTTTTAAATATTAAATAATGCCACGTATTCGGAGGGCCGCTTTGTCATTGGTTCGCCTTTTTCAACTCTCCTGCCACTCGTGACGTCGGGTCGTACTATCTATATATCTCTACATATAGAGTACTGAAGTGTGACGTCACGGTGGCATGACAACGAACCCACTGGTTCTAAACAACCCACTGGCTCCATAACATTAACTGCATGAAAATGTTGTGCGTACGTAAAACACGAGTGTGTGCGCTGCAGACAGAGGTAGCAAGTCGATCTTACAATATTTAATTAATTAATTATTTTATTTTATTTTTTTAATTATTTTTTTTATTTTTTATTTTTTTTGTTGCTTTTCACTTCCATCCTTTGGAAATCTATAAAAACTGCAATAATGACTCTCAGAATGATGGTTAATATCGGGTACAAAACGCGCAACCATTTTCACGCAGGTTAATGTTACCAGAGCATATGATTGTTTAGAACCAGTGGGTTCGTTGTCATGCCACCGTGACGTCATCACTTCGGAGCTCTATAGCGCATACGTATAATGACTATTCCTAGATCTCGCGCGCATATAGCACTGATGTCATGGCTATTTCTAGCTCGCGCCCCGCGTTGGACCTTCTCGTACCACGTGGCTATGAAACTTCATCGTAGCATGCTGCTACATAATTATTGGTTGACTTTTGAGTTTACTGTTCAGGGGCGTGTACAGGATTTGTAGCAGGGGGGGGTCTAACCGTAACCGGAGCACGCGAAGGGAAATCGAATTCCCCCAGAAATTTTTTGCCTTCAGGGGGTCCGCGGACGCCCCTGACGCCGCCCCGCCCCTGGTGTAACGCCCCTGTTGTTATATTATATTTGGTAATTGATGAGAATACATTCGGATTTCTGTAGTTCCTATCAAGTTAATCGGTGTATTCATTAATTTATCTTCAGCAATCAAGGCTGAATTTGATGACTTCGCTACAATTCTTGACAAGGAACTATCTGAACGTATCGCCAATTTTACCTTAAATGTAAGACTAACTAGATGTTTCCATTGTAATATTCAGTAATTATTAACATCAATAATAAATCAGTAATCAAACTGCTGATACAGTGATATGACTTACATTAATAAGCTATGCTTTTTGCTAATTTTTATTAAAAGAAAATTTTAAAACCAGTGTGGCATAATAATAATTATCGATGAAATCATGCCAGTTGTGGCGATGTATAAATACTTATAGGATGAGAGAATGTCAGGAATAGAATATACTGAATGTATTTGTTCATTTCATCCTAGTTACTTGATACGAAAGCCATTGAAGGCAATTTCTCAACAGCATACAACTCTTACAACATTATGGCATATGACAATTATAGGTAATCTGTTTAAAGATGTGTCTATCTCGATGTGCCTTCTCACACTGTTAGCATTTGACTTCGGGCAAATGTGTACTTTCCCGCTCACGTATCTACGAAATTCTGGGTTTTCCAAGTTTCTCACTTTCTATTCGAACACACTCTTTTATTTTAAGGCAGTTTTACTCAATATCTAAACTACATTCTACTGTTATCATTGGGTTCTGGATAATTCTAGCACATATGGGATAGCATAATGCAACTATTCAAGTAGTCACTATGAACAGTAGAGATCGTATATTTCGTGTGATTTTCACACAAGGGTCTTCAACTCCTAAGATTGCATGTTGGAAGGGCTCAATCCCTCAGTGGCCCTTACAGCTTAGTTAGCCCTATTCGTCCAAGCGAGATATCTTGGATATTAATTATTATTGCTAGGTCGGTTAAGCTAGACCAATTTGCACGCGTTTTTCATACGTGTCCACCAAGGCCACATTGTCGATCGCCCTAGCTGCACTTTGTTACTAAGGATCATTTTAGAATGCCTCTTCCTCAGTAGTGATTAGGTAGAGCTACCTGTCATTCACTCCAGGTGGTCGTTTCGCTCACCACGTCGATATTCCAAGGCATACGACCAAGACAACGTGACTAAAACCAACTATGAAGTTACCTATATAGTTTTCGATATAGCACAATTCAATGTTAATAGACCTTTATTATGAAAGCAACTGTCCTCTATGGTGGGTTTTTAAATGCTATATTAGCGGTTCTCAACTCCTGGCCAACAACTGGTGTGACCAAATCATTTTAAGCACGTCACCAACGGTCCCCGACCACCATGGTCCTGCATTCATTCATTTATAGATCAACGGGGGGCTGTGACAAGGAGACACTTTACTTAAATGACTCCACTACCAGCAATTAGGTCACGACCGATACCAATTTATGAGCAATCGGAACACAACCATACAATAATGTTCCAATTTATAATCAATGAGTATCTATTTATAAGCGCAACTAATTAATCAATTAAGTACATAATTAATGTAATACCTCACATACACTAATGTTGCGCAATATATAATATTAACGTAATCCATGTCTTCAATAATTAATAATTATAATTAATGTGTTAACAGGTGGGGAGTCTGGCTGGCTCTAGGCTGTCTGGTGCTGTTAATCAGCATGCTACTGCTGACCGGCCTCATCGTGGGTTTCATAGGCTTCAATACGGAAGACTTACCGACTCAGCGCACCGCGCTCTCCAACGCTGGAGGCAACCTCATTGTAAGGTGTGTTCAACGCGGCCCCGCGCGCTCACCTCGCGCGTCCTGTGCCAGCGGTGACGTCTATAGAAGGGTCACCTGTCTGTAGAGGTCGCCTTCAGCGTTTACTTTGAGCAGCATTTATACCGTGAAAGCTTTATCGTGAAATCTTTTATCGAACCGTCAGCTGGCCACTTTTGGCATTTCCCTTGTTGAGTAAATCTCATATACAGGTTTATCAGTATACATCTTGTTTTATTAGTGACAGTGTTATGTATTACTATGTTCTCAAGGGCAATGTTTCACCTGGGTACAGTTTTGTGTGTGTGTTTTATTACATTGTGTTCTCTCTCGCCCGCTTACATCTCTTTCGTCTGCTTTCTCTCTGACAATTTTGAGTGCTCATTTCATGAAAGTGGCATCGAGGTCAGCTTTCTCTTTAGCAGGAACGTCCTCCCCATTTGTGTAGTCTGCTCCCATCTCTACTGCCTGCTTTCTCTCTGACAATGTTGTTCATGCGTGTTTCGTTACAGCGGCGTCGTGGTAAGCTTTGTGTTTGCCGCGATCATCATGCTTGTCTGTGTCGTCTGCTTTGTCGTCGGCGTTCCCGCTGACCGCGTCGTCTGCCAGCCGCTCGTCGACCCCGACCTTGAAGCGCTAGCCAAGGTCAGTACGATCATAGCTTACCCTTTGAGGCCCTGACCTTGAAGCGCTAGCCAAGGTCAGTACGATCATAGCTAACACTTTGAGGCCCTGATCTTTAAACACTAGCCAAGGTCAGTACGTTCATAGCTAACACTTTGAGGCCCTGATCTTCAAACGCTAGTCAAGGTCAGTACAGTCGTAGGCAAAGGTTAGAGGCCACGACCTTAAAACTCTAGCCAAGGAAGGTCAGTGTGGCAATAGCTTACGATTAGAGACCCCAACCTTAAAACCTTAGCCAAGGTCGGTAAATGCATGGCATACAGTTAGGGAGTCCCCGACCTTAGCACTCTGCTCAAAGTCGGTACGTGCACGGCATGTAATCAGCTCGCGTCCTACAGTACGGCGCGCAGCGAGTCGCGTCGGTGGATGCACGCGTCGCCGCGTGCCGCAGTTCCGATTCCACTCCACTCGCCAGGGCCTAGTCCAAGCCATTTTTCATACCGAATACCGGCGCCCAAATTACGACCCTTAGCAAAACGCCCAAATTACAAAATTCATAAGACGCCCAAATTAGCAGAGCTCTGAAAATTGTTAAAATTAAATCTCCATGCTTCTATCGTTATGTAGGCACTGTTTTATAATAAAATGCTCATATAAGATCTATAATCTATTATCTGAATAAAATTTTAATGTTATTATACATCTACTTATACCTAAAAATATATTAAGCAGCTCGATTAGCCCCTTTTCGCATCTGATTGTTTTCGCTGTCGTTGACTGCCGCGCAGCTGATTGACGAGCCGGGTGAGTCGGTGTTTGCGGAGGGCCTGGAGAGAGACGAGTACTTCCTCAGCAGCCTGCTGCTCAACGACTGGACCGTGCCGCTGCGACTCACCGACGTGCTGAAGTAGGTGCCGCTCAGCTTGTGTGCATCGCGTGCGTCGCTCAGCTTCTTACTGTATTATAGGGGGTTAGTGAGAAAAAGAGAAGGGGTAGAAAATGGGCCAAATTCGTATGAAATCAATGAGTTATTGTGATTTATTATGGGCCATGTGGGAAAGATTTTGAGAGCAGTGATTGCATTATAGTTGTATATGTATTTGTAGTATATTTGTTATGCAAACGAATTCCTATAAGCATTTTGTTTCATTGGTTTAATAGTGTAATGTGCATTACTCCCTGGGTACCGCTGGAATGTACGCCTACCCTTTTTTGTTGCTAATTGATATTCACTAACTGATCACTAATTGATAAATAATAATTGAATGCGTGGAATTTCATAAAGTGCCTGTCGAACCCACGTGGCGCAGTGTGGGGAATGTGCTTCCCGTAGAGACGGCCCCAGAGCTGCACTTGGTGCATGTCTCACGCGCAGGTGTGTGAGGCCATAATAAAAATATTGTTTGTTTGCCCTCACCCCCGCCAAAAATGGGCAGACTCAAACAATTTTATTGATCTTTCCCATTCTTTTTTTTTTACAAATTGTATCATAGTACATTATATAAATCTGTAGGCAATACATTATATGTACCAAGCAAAACAAACATTCAACATAAAAGGTATCTCCACACAAGCACACCCGAGCATGTAGACGCCATGCTGAATTTGTAAAAAGACCCCCCTCAAAAAAAAGAAGCCTACCTACCTACCCAAACTTTTCAGCCTGGGTCGGGTGGGGCAAACAAAGATTTTTTTAATTGTGGCCTGAATGTTTCAGGGAGTGCAGGGATGATGGGCCGATATGGCAGGTCCTGAAGCTTGACAACGCCTACAATCTGAACTCCCTCATCGACGTTTCCGCGGTACGCCAGACGTCGAACGTCAAAATCTCGGTCAAATCTCATTAAATCTCTTTGCCACGACTGTGCAAAGTGGCAAATAATTCAATAATTATTGACCACATCGTATGATAAATAACGTGTAATCACATCTGATCATGTATCACAATAGCGTGACCCCTACCTGCGAGTTTGACTGTACCCTGATTAACGATAGTTTGCTACCACGTCCAGGCTGTGGACACTGAGCAGATAGGAAGTCAGGTAACCAACGAAGTGTCTCTGTCCTCCGTCACCATTCTTTCGCCAGAGCTCACGAGCCTGTTATCCGACTTCAACGACTCTTTGGCAGCAATAAACATCACTGCTCTTCAGGCGCAGGTATAGGCACTAATACATAATATCAGAAGTAGATAATAGAGAAGGAGTGTGACTTCAATAAACATGGGAAATTCGTCATTTACTAGCCTTAGAATACCTACGATTTACTATGCGTAACTCAACCAACTTGAGCTCAAATCGTACACAGTACATTCGCCTAGCATTGTGCGAAATCGTTTCCTTGTATACACACGCAATTCGGAGATACAGACTAAAACGTACGATATGATTCTCCATTCTGTTGCCAGCCAAACGAATCCATAACCCGCCTAACTTGAAACAATAGCTACTAACGATTCTTGCACACTCTTGTGCCCTCGGCGATGCGGTGTGGCTTGCTGGGAGATTGCACATCGACGCAACACTAGACGAGCTAACCTTTGACCTATTTACAGCTGGTATGCCCCCCACGCACGCACGCCTACCACAATCAGCAGCAGCTCCAGCTCCAATCTCCCAGCGAGCCACACCGCATCGCCGAGGGCACAAGAGTGCGCAAGAGTCGTTAGTAGCTGCCTATTGTTTCAAGTTAGGCGGGTTATGGATTCGTTTTGCTGGCAACAGAATGGAGAATCGTGTCGTACGTTTTCGTCTTTATCTCCGGATTGCGGGTGTATACGAGGAAACGATTTCGCACGATGCTAGGCGAATGTACTGTGTATGATTTGAGCTCAAGTTGGTTGAGTTACGCGTAGTAAATCGTAGGTATTCTAAGGCTAGTAAATGACGAATTTCCCTTGTTTATTGAAATCACGCTCCTTCCCTATTATCTACTTCTGATAATATATATGTAATATATAACAGGCGCTAGCTCATACCTGCAACAGTCGTCGTATGCTCTATTAATATATCATATAAATATTATCGTGAGTGAATAAAAACTCAATTCGATCTTTTTCGCTTCTAATATTGTAATTATTATAAAATGCGTTATCAGTATATGATCGATCTATTATATGAGACGTCAAGCAGAGAACTCGATGACTGACTTTCGGATTTGGTCAGTCCACCTAATCCCCTGAGTGACTATAACATCTGATATACTGAATGTCTGGCCATGTTAGAGTTGATTTGTCCATGTACGAGCCCAAATCACAGAACTCGACCCCTGACCCTTCACCTTGATGCACGCGTCATGGTGTTGCTCCTTTTTTTTTACCGAATTAGTTCTACTTTAGCTTTTTTGTGTGAATCGTTGTCCGTGTCGCGAACCGGCGATCAACAGGACTCGGCGCCGGCCCGCTACGATCTGAACAGAACCGCTGACCTTTGTGCGCAGGTGACGGTGCCGCTGACGGGTGCTGACCTGCAACAGGTGGCCGCCACGCTGCGTGCGATCGTGCCGCTCATCCCGGCGGTGGCGGCGGTGGCCGACACAGCGGACGACATTTACAACCTGCAGGTGGTGCCCCTGCAGGAGTCGCAGCAGACTGTCAGTAACCTGCTGGCTGACCTTGACTTGCACGTCAAGGACACGATGGTGAGCGATGGTCCGCGCATTAGCCAGGATTCGCCGAGACGATCATTGTCTCGTTTATTTCTCAAATTGAATTAATGAAATTAGAAGATGGTGAATAATGATCAATTAATTACTGGTAAGGATTTGGGGTGGCGATGGTGGGTGTGTGTTGTTTAACGCGTTTGCCTTAAGATATCTGCCGGCAAGTGCGAAGTCGTGTGGGAAAAATCCATTTTTGTCTCGGGTCGTGACTGTGGCAAGTGTCATGACGTGCTGAAATGAAAGGCCTGGTCCAGCAGTCTGCTGTTTGATTCCGCTGCAGTAGCAACTCGGGGTTCGGCACAAATAACGACGCCATGTTAGCAACGAAAGACTAATTTTCACTTTTTGTAGTCTTGTCGGGTTCTTCTAACTTTTGCTACGAGTCTCGTAAGGCTGTGGTAATTAAGCAGCTATTAATGGCTAATTGTATCACAGTATTAGCAGTGGCCTGAGCAGAAAGCCAGTATGCTTCATGTGAGTTTGTTTCCTATGGCTTTGTTTTCCAGGCAAACATTAGCACTGTCCTTGATGCTCTGCAAACCTCCCAGGATGCAATAAGAACCAATGGCAGTGTCATCATCACACGGGTATGTCTGAATTTTGGTTACTAGAGGTCGCTGTTGCCTGCACGGCCCATAATAGCGCTGAAGGGGTCGTTGTCGTATAGGGTACTACATATATGTACGCCTACTCCCTAACCCTAACCCTAACCCTAACCCTAACCCTAACCCTAACCCTAACCCTAACCATATCAGATAGTTACCTCGGGTACATATATGTAGTACCCTATATGACAACGACTCTTCGTGCCATAACAGCAATATTGTTAGCTTCATATGTGTAGTTATAGCACAGAACAGACCAAGGTGGATATAAGATCATGCCAATGTAGCATTAGCGTCTTCTAGAGTGCCAATGTGTTTTAAGTTAGCGTTTTGTGTCCCAAAACATCTACAAATCAAACCTGGCAGAACCCTCTATAGAATGAACACCTGTCTATGAATGACACGTACTTCTCTTGAATAGCAGTTATGAAACCAACTCAACAGAACGGACACCTGTTTATAAAGGCTACAATGGTTTTTCCTTAGAGCCACGTACCATTACATAGAGATCTAACTGCATTAACTTAATAAATAAACTTAAGTGGAATTTATATATTTTGTTTGGTTTCCAATTACAGCTTGTGAATGAGTACATTGCAAGGCTAGTGGGCTATGGTGATCAGTACATTGATCATTCTATCGATCTAGTGAGTACATATATTTACAAAAAAATATTACGGAATACGTGAATCAGATACTGAATATAGTACACATTAAATTGTATTTAATCACAACTTTTTAAATTAAATGCAATTTTATGTTAAAAAACATTGTTTACGTGTTATTTCTGCCATTACCTTAATGTCATTTTTAATTAGTGATTAATTATTCATGTTGATATCTAATTATTCTAGTTAAAGAATGACGTGGGAAAATGTCGGACTGTTTGGAACGTCTATAACTCTGCAACGACTCTAGTCTGCAAGACTTTCCTAAATGCATTCGTGAGTTTTAGTGTAAGAAATATTGTCTAGGCATCCACCTGCTGCCCGTCTAATTGTATTGGTATTCTGCACAGGATATGCGCAGCTAAGATTAGTTATAAAATAGAGCATAAATGTATGCACGTATATATTATACGCGAGCGAATATATTTTGATATTTATTTAGTCTTCAGAAGATGGTCTAGTGTGCATTTTTTGTTTTTTATAGAATGCAAGCTGGTTCTGTCTGGGCTGGGCTGCCGTCCTGCTCATACCTGCTGTTATCTTTGGTATGAAGCTATCCAAGTATTTCCGACGTATGAAACATGCTATTGGTTTTGCCGATGGGTAAGCTTCCATGTTCATTAGCATAATACCTGGTAGTAGAACTGTCCGCTGTCTCAGCATCACCTTCAGTGAAAATACACTTATTATTTTATTAATTCTAATAATTAACTAACCAATTAAGACCATATTTATTTCCATTTTAGTATTATGTTAATTCATATTGTTTTTTGCTTTATTTGTGTTCGACTCCAGTTTCATATGTTTATGGCTTTAGTAAGTGACCATGTTCACATTGGATATACAATTGTCTGTAGTGGGTTGTAGCATTTTAAAATTATACATTTTCAAACAGTGTTATTCTCATATTTCAGGAATTCGGCAATGGAAATGTAAGTGAATTGCTATAGTGAAAGCCATGTGTCATCAGTGATAACCTTGCAATCGTATTGTAGTTTAGTCAAGATTTTAGCTGCATTTAATAGGTGTACCGTTGCTGTGTTAGTTTAACGTAGGCCTCACTGCAAATAGAAATATCTTGGTTGTCAGTTCGGCTTAATTAGAACTGTAGAATGTCTTGCACAGTTATGTCACACACGGCTTAAACTCCACTTAGAGCAAATGTGTTAATAAGTTTGCTAGTGACAGTATGGAAGAAACACTATAAAGTTCTACCTATACCATAAGTAGTGAATTTCAATTCACTACTCGTATGATATGTAAAGCTATACAAAGCACTACCTAGAACTAATAGTGTAGTAGCTAAGTAGTGAATTTACTATTGACATGCTATGATACGTACCTACCTCTACCTGTGGTGTGACATTGTGGTGACATTGACATGCTATGATATGTACCTACCTCTACCTGTGGTGTGACATTGTGGTGACATTGACATGCTATGATACGTATACCTACCTCTACCTGTGGTGTGACATTGTGGTGACATTGACATGCTATGATACGTATACCTACCTCTACCTGTGCCGTGCTGACCATTGTTGGTGGACAACTGACATTATCTATGATATGTTTAAAGCTCTGCCTGTGGTGTAGTTGTGACCATTGTGCGTGACATTGACATGCTTACATCCCTGTTTACTTTATCTCCAGGAAACTATCAGCTGGAAACAAATCGGCATCGGACCTCTAGGTTATGGACAACCGGGACAAACGTGAGTACGTGCCTCCTCCTCCCCTCCCCTTCCCTCTCCCTAGGCATGACACTTGCCGGCCTCCCTCACCTTTACAGGTAGTCCAGCCGGACAGACCAACCTAATCGATTTGCTAATTACAAGAAATGGCATTAACTTCGTCCCACTCCAACCTCTCCAATTATCGATTATAGTAAGAATACCAGGGCGCCCCCCTGGCACGATGATTCCCGTTCCGCCGAACAAGATCGGCGGTTTGCGCGCATTTTTCATGGTGCACGCCATATTACCGACTTTGTGGCCATTTGTTGCCAAAGCTTCATCTCGTCTTTTAGAGCATACTGTTCCGGCAGCAGTATCGGATTGGAGTTGCCTGACGGTTGCGGCGTGAGGTGGACTAAGATCGAATCGGGTCACCAGGTGTTTACGTTTAAGTGCGATGTGCTTCGAAGTGACACATGATTTAGGTGCATATCAGAATGACTGCGAGCTGCTCTGAAATCTCGATTATATTCACCGTTTCATGTAGGTTTCAAAACACACGCCATTATGAGGATGTGGTTTGTGTGCCAATGTGGAGTTTTGGGTGGTGTGTGCGTGCGTGCAGTAGGAGTTCCGGCGTCGTGCGTCGGTTGCGTGCGTGGGGCACCGGGCGCCGCGTGCGGTGCGGAGAATTATATGTTAGTTTTATGGTACGTGAATAATTAATCGCGTTATGTTATAAAATAGTTGTTATTATCCAACAGTTTTTGTAATATACACGAAAATAGTCGTGAACCCGGCCAGGGTTAGGGTTGAGGCCGTTGGTGTAACCGGATCGCAGGCAGAATGATTCCCTTACGCGATGCTTCATTGTTTTACATGCATACTGCAGTGGACCAATAACAGTGGGCCGCCGTAGATGCCAAGCAACATAGTAAAACGCGTTCTACTCGGGGTGACACGCTCGAACGTGTGCGTTTGTTGTTTGCAGTGAATCCCTGTCGTGGTTTGTCAGTTGTCCACAGGTCCTCAGAACTGTGAGGAACTTTTCGCACCACTCTGTCCTCGGCAGATGGCTGTACATTTGTGGCTACACTTGTCCGCTCAAGGAGCTGCTAAGACCTAGCGGGTGCACCACTTGGTCTGCAAACTAGTGAGGGACTTGCTGCACCGTCCGGAGCTGGCTTGTCTCAAAACTGCTGAGACTGTTGCACCACCTTGTCTTCAAGACTGGTAAGACCTGTGGCAATCTTTTCTTGCTCTCAACGACATGTTTGGAGACTCGTGAGGATTTCTGTGCACCGCTTTGTCTCAAGACCCGCGGAGACTTGTGCACCACTTGTCTCAAGACTGTAAGACTTGTCTATTGGTTGTCTCGAGACTGAGACTGTGAGACTTGTACACTGCTTGTCTCAAAATTGTAAGACTTGAGCCCTGCTTTTTTCAAAACTGTGTGACTTGTCTACTGCTTGTCTCAAGACTGTGATACTGTGAGACTTGTGCACTGCTCGTCTCAAGATTGTGAGACTTGTGCACCATTTGTCTCAAGACTGTAAGACATGTGCACCACTTGTCTCAAGACTGTAAGACTTGTGCATCTCTTGTCTCAAGACTGAGACGTGTGTACTGCTTGTCTCGAGACTGTGATACTGTGAGACTTGTGCACTGCTCGTCTCAAAATTGTAAGACTTGTGCTCCACTTGTCTCAAGACTGTAAGACTTGTGCTCCACTTGTCTCAAGACTGTGTGACTTGTCTACTGCTTGTCTCGAGACTGTGAGACTGTAAGACTTGTGCGCTGATTGTCTGGAGACTGTGAGACCTGTGCACTGCTTGTCTTGAGACCGCTAGACTTACACACCACGTCACGAGCGTAGTTTGATTTCCACAGTTTGATTTTACACTGGTGTCACTAAAAACAGAAATCTCACACAAAATTTAAACCAGTGATACAGACCTCTGGTTTGCCTCATGTTCACACGTTTGACGCACTCCCAATTTGCTTATAATTTGTTGAAAGATTATAGTACACATTTTCAATAACAAAGATTTTATAGGTAAATTTTTTGATAACAATCTCACTAATACTTATTTATTTTTACTTACATATTTACTTTTACAATGCGAGGCCTGTTACACTTGTATTTCTTTTATAAATTATTATCTACATAATACTCTCTTCTAGATCTCCTGGCAATATTGTTATCTCATTATTTTGTGTCGAATCGTTTAGTTCACAGATGTTGAACGGCAAAGTGGAAAACGGAGCCGTGATTACACCATGAACAGCATACATGAACACAGACCTGGTACAGCAAAAAGGAACGCTGAACAACATCACACCATGAACGGTGAGAGGAACAGTAGTACTAAGCTGCTATGTGCTGAACCGTGAACACAGCCACGCTAAATTGCTGACTTAATGAGTGAACAGCCATGTGGAACAAATGTGAACAGCATGTGTGAACACAACCACAAAGTATGAACATTATGAGTGAAGACAACCACGAAGTATGAACAGCATGGTTGAAGACAACCATGAAGTATGAACAGCATGAGTGAAGACAACCATGAAGTATGAACAGCATGAGTGAAGACAACCATGACGTATGAACAGCATGAGTGAAGACAACCATGACGTATGAACATTATGAGTCAACATACATGAACCGTAATGATCGTTGCACTATCAATATGAACGGCGACATGAGAGGAATCCTGCGATATCATAAAACGAGTGATACAACCAATATGTTCCCAGTTATGTGGAAAGTTATTGAATGACAGGTTATTTTGTTAAGTGCCTATTATGTGCCTTTGACATAATTATGACGTGATTGTCGGGAGATTTTCTAGTGTACACTTCTACCAACTAGCGATTTATCCTCTAATGAGTGCCATTCCAATTTGCTATGTAAACTGTGATCATTATAATACTGTGATTTGTCATGCATAGAAAAATATTATACTATATAGAATTTTAAAAACAATTCATGTTATCGGATGAATTTTTGTTTTATTAAAACTCCTAATCCTAAATCCACCAAATAATCCTATTTACAAAATGCTCGCCATTTAACAACTTTAGACTTATCCAAGATGTTGTACGACTTGAAAATGGCTCAATCTTTTCCGAATGTTTGTCAATTTTTCATTACTTCTCAGCAGTAACACATGATCGCATCGGTACTGTGTACAGTACCCAGTGGTACTGTGTACAGTACCCAGTGGTACTGTGTACAGTACCCAGTAGGGAAAAATGAACATATTTCATAACTCAGTTAATTTGCATGCAATTCGGCTGGATCTCCTCGTCACGATCTCTTTGCTCCTATTTTAATTTAGTCGTCTTCTGTTTCGGGTCGTCTTTTGGACGAGCGGACCTTGCAAACACCTGAATATCTAGTTAAGGATAATGCTGCCCCCAGTGTAGTGCAGGGTTTTATTTGCTGTATAACGATGGGGCAGACTACCCCTCTTCCGGATTATACTCTCCTAAAACATTTTACAAAAAATAGGGCATTTAGATACATTTTTGGAATTATTTTTGGCTATTATTATTACTATTATCATTATTTAAAATAATTCCCTCAAAATAAGATCCAAAATCCAATCAAACATCGAGGGAACATCAAATAATAAACAATTCCCAAGCCCTGGGCAGGCCACAAATATGGGCAACCCAAAATAAAACCTGGATTTAATACGAACCATTATCTTACACGTGGATCAAAGCTGCCCCGAGAAACCAAACCCAACTTGAGCTTACTCGAATAATTTGACATAATTCTGTCCGTATATTACATGTACCATCACGAGGGTCCGTAGAATTAACACGTTCAAAAGGATACGACTACTAGAGGTTTGTCGAAAAGCACATAGCCATTGGTATCTCCCAGAGCTTCCTTGGCGTTTTCATCATTGCTGAGAGTTATGAATGCTTGTCCTTTCATTCGACCTTCTTTCATCAGTCTGATATCGAACCTGCAACGTAAACAGGCAACTACTGTAAAATGTCAAGATGACAGACAGAATTAAAGGGATACTAGGATTTTACTGCATACAACTGTACTTACTGTATAACAAATCGTCTACACCCACACGTACTTGTTACCAGATACCTAATTTAATTGTTATAATTAATTATACATCAACGCTACGAAATTTGAACGGCGCCATTGACACCAGCGACCGTGCTGCCACCCTGAAAAAGTTGCGCATTTCCCAATATATTTTGCACGTTACAGACCGAGGGCTAATCACAAAGGTGCAATTATATTTATACCTAAATGCTATTTAACCGAACAATGTTCATTTTATGACAAATTTATCCATAATATCAGGAGTCTATCATTATATTAGTCTATATTAGTCTATCATAATATCAGGAGTATAATATCATAGTTATATTAGTCTATCATAATATCAGGAGTCGATCATCAATGATAGACTCCTGATAATATAACTGAAACTATATGTCATTTATAAGATATTACAATCTTTTTGCTTTTAAATTAATAAATAAGAAACACCCTCAGTCAGAGGCCCTTGGCTGAACAGTCGTTTTGTGCACTTTTTTCAGATCGTGCACTTTGAGTGGCGCCACCTTCGTTGTAATCAAACTGTAGTCGTTAGTTTTAAAACATTAAAAAAAATATTTCTAATGGTGATTGAACCATGAAACTTTTTATGTAGCGTAATTTTAACCTAAATTAACTGAAAATAATCCTAGAACCTAGAGTAAAGGATCCCTTTAAATACTGTATATTATCTCCTACTAAGCAATTGTTCAAGTTAAGAGTTATGATGTGGAATTTCACTGTAAAATGGGCCGCGTTCCAACCAGCCACAGTACTCGCCAACCATCTGAGAAACAAATCATATGTTTAACCTCCTACACAGGCTGGCAATAGAGAGGCTGCCACATGTACCCTAATTAACGCAGGTAAAAACTACACAATAACTACTACCGACCATGCACTGCCACTGGCAGTTGGCCAACTGGCAGTGGCAGTAATAACACATCTGACCAGTGCAATATGATTAACACACTGACAGTACAGAATGCCATAGAAATTATATACGATTTAATTAGGAGGCAAAACCTTCTTCAAGCAAATTTAGCTTTGAAAATTATCATCTCGTGACATTGTATAGCCTCATACATCCAGGCATGTATGAGATTCCCTACTAGCAAAGCCCAAGGCCAGTCCAAATCCTATTCTAAACACACAGTAACAGTTAACCAATATCCATGTTTAAATCCCTCCTCTGTCGAGGGTCTAAAAGGTTATAGCAGACACTTACTCTTGCACGTCCAGTGGAAAGCACATTTCATGCCTTTGCAATACAGCCATAAAAATGGTAGGTCACCGCTGAAGACAAAAAGTTTTCGAATTGCTCGTCAGACCATGTCCTCAGAAAATTCTAAAATCTGCCCTGTGCCCATGTGGCCTTTGACTTGTGACCTCCAAATTTCGGCACAGTGATGCTTTTCCTACCAATGAATGCTTACACCGACTGATCACAAGCCGCATAGTCGAGTCCGTTTTAGATTTGTGCGCAATTTCTGCATTTCCTCCCTATACTAAGTTAAGGAGTGAATGTTCGCCCCTTATTTTACACCTCAGCTGACCTTTGACCTTTGAGCCCCTCATCTTCGACATCCCAACTCTTCGGATTCGCCCCCCACGTCCCGAAATATTCGTGAGCCGTACCTCGCAGCGGTGATTAAAGATTTTGCTCAACTGGTTGACCAGACGGACGCACGGAAGCACGACGGACGACGGAACGCACGAGACGACGATGGATTCTACAAGCTGCAATCCTGACTATGTCCAGATGAGGCTAAAATATACTAAAATCGTAGGGTGATCTTGTGGTTTTGCTGTTCGCAAATCGAGTTCCCTCCAGAGAATTGAAACACTTACAAGGTCCAATCTAAGTAGGCTTTCTGCATATCACTTCAAAGTTTTATCCGATATAAACGAACGTGTTAATTAATTTGTTTGAATCTCCTTGTGTATATCACACAGGCATATTGCGGCTATGATATGTAGAGTGGCGGGTGTAATTTTAAGGATGGCGGGCTCGACATCAGCCGGCGGCCGCCAAGGCTATAAATGTGCTCTGGAGAAGCTGATAT